TAAAAAGACAAGATTCATTCGTCAAGAATCATAAGGTACAGCACTTAATGATAGTCATAGGGTACAAATAAGCAATTAGGAAACAATATCAATATAAAGGATAAGGATACAAGCAACCATGTTACAATCATGCAGTCATAAATGGGAGGAGATGGGTGATAGGAACGATGAGAAGACTAATAGTAATAGTAATGCAGCCTTAGTGAATAGTTCGATGATGTTGAGGGAATTATTTGTTTTTGATTTTGATAAGATTTGTCTTTCCTGTTGATCCAAGCTATAGCGTTCTCATTGTGTTGGAAAGCATCATTTTGTAGATCACTTAATCCAGACCTCCACAAAATATGGCCCATGTGCCACATGCAGCCCATTGAGCGGCCTTCTACAGCCCACCTGTGTTTTAAAAATAAATTTGGCACTGCCCCAAAAGTCACACTGCTGAGCGCCTCCAAACTTATAGGGCTGCCACTGCTCCACTGGTTCTCAATAGCTGCTTGATATGCCGTATATTCTTTTGCTGCCTGTGATGATTTTTAATTTATCAATGTAGCTATTTTCCCTTTACAGTATACATTGTGCCAGTAGGAACCCAACATTACAGCATTTCTGGCAGATGGCTGTCCAGCCTCTGTTTAAGCACTTTTAGCAAAGGAAACTCCACTATTTTTTTTTTTAATTTGATTTATATGCCGCCCTTCTCCGGAGACTCAGGGCGGCTTACACTGCGTTAAGCAATAGCCTTCATACTTTTGTATATTTATACAAAGTCAGCTTATTGCCCCCACAAACTGGGTCCTCATTTCACCTACCTTAGAAAGGATGGAAGGCTGAGTCAACCTTGAGCCTTGGAGAGATTCGAACCAGCAGTAATTGCAGGCAGCTGTGTTAATAACAGGGTGCTTAGACCACTGTACTATCACTGTACTATCATTTCCAAGTCAATCTGTTCCATTGGTGAAAAACTTAACCATTAAGGGTTTTTTTTGCCAGATACCTGACTTAAATCTATTTTCTTGTAATTTAAACCTTTTCTTGACTGCTCTTCTGGAACTACTGCCTCATTATCTTCCTGTGAACTGGACACAGTATTCTAAATGTGGTCTGAGCATCCAGAATAGAGAACTGCAGTTTCTCCTGATTTGGCACTGTATTTCTCTTGATGCATTTAGGGGTGGGTTTTTTTTGTTTCTTGTTTTGCAACTGCTTATCACTGTTGGTTCAACTTGCAGTTCATCAAGTTACCCAGATTATTTTGAAATGTACTGCAATATGTGATTTCCATCCCTCAAATCCTATGCTCATTCCTTGGATGTTTTTTCTTTATCCAGAGTTTTCATTCATAGGATTTTAAAGTTGGAAAGAGTCAGTTATAAGCCATAGCAAAGATATATCAGGCCTTAATCAGGTGGTGCAGTGGTTAGAATGCAGTATTGCAGACTAACGCTAACTCTGGCCACTACCTGACAGGGCTCGAAGTTGACTCAGCCTTCCATCCTTTCAAGGTCAGTAAAATGAGGATCCAGATTGTTGGGGACAATATGCTGACACTGTAAACTGCCCAGAGAGTGCTGTAAAGCACTATGGGGCAGTATATAAGTCCCATTGCTATAGGTACTTATCCTGACCAAAGCATATGTTTGAGATTTCCTCAAAGAATAATGTCAACCTGAAGGAAAGCTGCTGGTTTTCAGTGATGTTGACCTCTAAGTAGGAAAACAATAAGAAAACACTTAACTGGCTTACTTCAGCTGTTTAAGACATTTCATCATTTGATATGTATATAGTAAATATTATTTTCGCTATAAGGATAAATGGTTTAGAATGATCTTCACAGGCCCCAGACTGAGTATTACTGAAAATCTGTGAGTAGTTCTCAAATAGGCAATGCGTGCAAGGAGAATATCAAGTATTTCTGAGCTACAAGGAAGGGGGAGAAATTCCAAAAGAAAGAACAGAGATTCTTGTCAACTCATGTCTAATTCAATTAGGATAGGATAGGATAGGATAGGATAGGATAGGATAGGATAGGATAGGATAGAATAGAATAGAATAGAATAGAATAGAATAGAATAGAATAGAATAGAATAGAATAGAATAACAGAGTTGGAAGGGACCTTGAAGGTCTTCTAGTCCAACCCCCTGCCCAGGCAGGAAAGCCTACACCACTTCAGACAAATGGTTATCCAATATCTTCTTAAAAATTTCCAATGTTGGAACATTCACAACTTCTGCAGGCAAGTTGTTCCACTTATTAATTGTTCTAACTGTCAGGAAATTTCTTCTTAGTTCTAAATTGCTTCTCTCCTTGATTAGTTTCCACCCATTGCTTCTTGTTCTACCCTCAAGTGCTTTGGAGAATAGTTTGACTCCCTCTTCTTTGTGGCAACCACTGAGATATTGGAACACTACTATCATGTCTCCCCTAGTCCTTCTTTTCATTAAACTAGGCATACCCAGTTCCTGCAACCATTCTTCATGTTTTAGCCTCCTCTCCCCTAATCATCTTTGCTGCTCTTCTCCGAACTCTTTCTAGAGTCTCAATATCTTTTTTATATTGTGGCGACCAAAACTGAATGCAATATTCCAAGTGTGGCCTTACCAAGGCATTATACAGTGGTATTAACACTTCACATGATCTTGATTCTATCCCTCTGTTTATGCAGCCCAGAACTGTGTTGGCTTTTTTGGCAGCTGCTGCACACTGCTGGCTCATATCTAAATAGTTGTCCACTAGAACAACCATTTAGATATTAAATTCATAATTTAATGAATTATGGATTTATTAAAACATAAAATTTGACCAAGGATATCTAAACTTTAACTACTAACTTTATGCAAGTAGTTGGTGAGAAAGCTGCATAGGCTGCTGGATCAGACAGCACTGTGTTTATTCTAGACTAATGTATTTGTTCCTCTTGCTTTACTGTCACAAGAGTGTGCTTGAAAATATGAAACGGGCTATAAGTAAATATGCTATAACAATTTCAAGTGCATCATTTGGAATGTGACATAGTCCAATTCGTTTAACATTTTTATTACATTGTAATTTAGAAAAAATGTTATAATTACTCTGTGTTTTAAAAATCTGTCAGTTAAAAGAATTTTATATATAATGAATATTGATTGAATTGCAGAGGTGGCCCGTCAAAATGACTGGGATGGTATCATTGCTTGCCATCAGGGTTATGTAACCTGTACTACTTGGAATTATCAGAAATCTTCAATGGGAATCCATAAATTGAAACCAAAAGACATCAGCAAAAATAAATCTCTTGGTATATATGCAACAGTAAGTTTTTTTTTCTTAAATTATTGGAGGCAATTCTTAAATTCATGTAAAGCTGAAATCTATTTAAGTACAGCTCTTCATCTTATTCTGTATTTAGATTACACAGCATGCATCGTTACCTTGATTTTCCAAAGCTCATTTGTATGAACATCTAAACATTATTTGAAAATAAGTTTGAATGAATAACTATAAAATATTTAAGATTTTGACAATGTAAATTGTTTGCTATATTCAAGAGATACCCCTTGATATAAATAACTTATTTTTTTGTCTTTCTCTTGAAAGGCAGTAGACATTACTTCTTGTGGAAACTTTGCAGTAATTGGACTTTCAACAGGGCATGTGGATAAATACAATATGCAGTCTGGCATTCACAGAGGACGTTATGGTGAAGAAAAAGGTGAAAATCTGATCTTTTAAAAAAAACATTGTAATCAAAGTTTCAGTAGTTAATGTGGAGTCAATATATCCATTGCTTCATTTTCATAAAAAATTCTGTCACTGTAGGCTCAGGACTAATGAACATCAAACTAGGTTTAAGATTGGTAATGCTACTTAGGTAATAAATGCTCGATGACTACCAATATGTTGTTCTTACTAGCTTTGTTATGGTATGTCTTCTCCTTGGAAGATTTCTAGTATTGAACTTCAGATCCATTTCAAGAATTTGGTTCACTTTAGAAGTAGTCTAAACAAGTACAGTTAAAGGTTCTATTCAAGAAAGCTCATAAAAGAAGGCTAACAATTGATTCATTTTTTCTGTGTGTATGTATAATCAAAGCTCATGAAGGCTGCATAAGAGGTGTAGCAGTGGATGGACTCAACCAATTTACAATCACAATAGGAAGTGAAGGATTAATCAAATTCTGGAAATTCAAGACCACAACATTTGTTCATTCTATTGATCTCTCCACGCCTCCAAATAAAATGTTGCTTCACAGAGATAGGTGAGATGATGTGGTATATTCAGTAAAAGCTACAAACAAAATTAAAACTCATAGATATATTTTTAATGATTGGTTTATCAATCATTTTAATACTGATACTTTAATTGATATTGCATGAATGTGTGTATGATTTTGTATGTATGTTGTTTTTTAACCAAGCAATTGTGCTACAGGTGATGGAATGATATTCCTGATCGATACTGCAAGTAGAATCTCCACCTTATTTATTTATACTCTATACACCTTGATTTCATATTTTTATATATATTTATATCATGCATGCCTACAAACCTACTTTTATCATATATCACTACTTTTTCTTCCATATTCATTGCTAGCCATTCATTTTTTTATTCTATTTCACCCTACAAATCTATTAAGCACTCCACTCCCATGATGTTCAGCATAACCTTTATGCTTCTTTTAACAAGATAGAGGGCCAGTTTGGTGTATTGCTTGAGGCATCATACTAGAAACCTGAATTCTAGTCCCACCTTAGGGAAAAAGCCAGTTGGATTACCTTGGGCCAGTCACTTTCTCTCAGCCCTAGGAAGGAAACAATGGCTAACCATTGTCATGAAAACTGCAGGGACTTGTCAGACAGTCTCCAAGAATCAGACATAATATGGAAGAAAATAAAACATAAACTGCACTTGCGTCCATATGACAAAGCGGCAAAAACATGTTATCTATAGCTATTTTCACTTCTTCTGATAAACAGTTATTCGTTGCAATGGGCCACATACTTCTTGCGGTCTTCCTACCTGGATTTGCACTTCTTCCACCTTCAGTCATTTTTCTGCCAAGATATACAAATTAATGTACTTGCTCAGTTCTTTTGCCATTTATGTATAACTTGCCATTGATCACATCATTATACATTATGCACTGTTTTAGTCTTTTATACATTAATATTCAGATTCATTCTCTGTTTCTCACCAAGAACATAGTACCATCTGATTGCAAAACTACATACATATTCATAGCCCCAGCCAACACACTGTGATCTCACCTTATATATTAAACCATAAGTACATTAAATAATCTTCTTAGGAACATTAATAATAAATAATTCTTATCTATTAGAACATTAAGTAATAATTTCAGACTTCCCTATCTTACTCCCTCTCAATGCTGAGTCATTCACTAAGTATTCCATTTATTCTTATGCATGTTTTATTTCCATTAAGCTCTTAATACATCCAGCAACCAACTTTCAATTTGCATTATGCAAAAATTCCAAAATGTAATTCTGTTCACTTCAACATATGTATTTTCTAAATAAACATCTCTGGTTTTCTCTTAGAAAAATGGAAATATGGTTGAAGCATCAGCAATGAGCATCATGCAAGGGTTTGTTTTGGGTTTTTTTTACCATTTTAAACGTTTGATTATATTAAATTTTTACAGTGGCATTCTGGGAATAGCTATGGATGATTTTGGCATCAAAGTTCTGGATATAGAAACAAGAAAAATTGTGAGAAAATATTCAGGACACAAAGGGCAGATAAATGACATGGTGAGTCTTTAACTGTAAATTATAAACGGTATGAAAACGATGTGTTTTCTGAAGTAATCTAGATTTTGCTATTTCTAAATTAACACTAAACATAATGCTTGTGAAAGTTCTCTGTATTTCTGTATAGAAGCATGTAAGTATAATAGATACTGGAATGGCTTGGCATATTTGTCGAATAACATATTTGTATGCAAATCTATTCAATGTTAAATTTATATTGCCTGCGGATGTTAAATTTATATCGACTGCCTGCAAAGGCTCCTGGATTGGGGCTGAAAGGTGAAAGCAGAAGCAGTATGCTCCATCCCGTATTTGGGTAGACCAGGTTGCCCTGATAAAAAACACTTAAATCTATCGAATGTTTTTTATTTAATGCAATATCCAACTTTCCATTATATTGCAATAAGATCTTAATTTCTGTTGGAGAAATGATTTGGCAAAAATTTAAAACCATTAAATGCCAGGCAAGACATGATTAAAAAGATCTCCGCAGAACCTCAGAAAAGGGATTGTTATGTTTCAAAGATAGGCTACCCTCAACAGTTTCTACACTCCAAGAGGTTGCTAGGATACCTAGGGTATAGCCAGTGATCTGGAGGCCACCCTTGCATTTCTTGATAACTGTTTATTAATCCACTATAAGGATATCATTGAACAAAAATGTTCTATATGGGAGGACACCAAGGAAGAATTCACTTTTCTCTGGAAACTACATTGCTTTCTGCCTTGAATTTGCCAGTGAGCATCTGGATGATCCAAGCAGGCGACTGGAATGATTTTCTGTGAGCGGATGAGACAAATCTAAAAAATTTTGACATTTAATGAGAAACTTTTATGTTAGGAGAAAATGAAAGTGTTTTAGTTGTTTCACTAAAACACTTTCGTTTTCTCCAAACATAAAAGCATCATAATCATAAAGCCAGATTGTGAGAGTATCATGGTTTGCAATCTCAAAATACAGGTGGCTTGCAGTTATTGAGGAGACAACTGATTCTGAATTGTATCAGCTGATTATGCTGATTATGATTATGAAAAATGTTGGGGTATCCGGGAGATGAAGCTTAAATAAATACATCACAATATCAGTTCTAAAGACAAAAATAATTCTACAGCACAATCGTTGAAACAGAAAAAAATTAATCATTTTGGAATGACCAAATTGTGACACGATCGGAAATGTCAGTGAATTGAAACAGTTCTATAAAGACGAATAGGCCAAAATCATTCAAAATTGGTCAACAAGTGCTGTTAATGTTAGAGGTATCGTTAATTCTAATTCTAAATAGTTTTTTTTTTCTTTTCCAAACAGTGATAGTGAATTTTGGATCAATGTATTAAAACATGAAATGATTCACTACAATTGTTTTTTAGAGGCAGGGGGGAGGGCTATCTGTTTTCCAGAATTCTTTATTAAAAGGACTTAGATAAAACTCAGACTATATCACAGGTTATGATATTATAGGACTACAATAGTTCTAAAGAATTCACAAACTTTTTCCTCATCATTGTAGATATAAAACTGGGGAAGTCCACATTTTTTCTAGCCATATTAACATAGAGGGCTAAATCATATGTGTAATTACAGCGATAGCATTACTGACTAGGATTAGCACCCCCAGGCTTTTCAGTGTAGTTTTGTGCCTTTTGTATTTTCTTCTCATTACACAATCTGATCTACCTTATAAAAATTCAGGACAATCAACACAGTGAACAGTGGAAAGTTTAAACAGGTGGATCAGCCAGTGATCCTCACATTGGAACTTGAGGAAGACATTGCTTCAATTACAAGTAATATTCAATTTACAACCATTCATTTGACAATGGTCTGAAATTACAACAGCGTCAGAAAGAATGCTTTACAGTCTAAAACATTTCCAGCCATTGCAAAATGTCACACAGACAGACAGACAGACAGACAGACAGACAGACAGACACACACACACACACACACACACAAAGTCATGATTGTGATCTAGGTGCTTAGCAACTTGTTTGCACTTACAGCCAGTTGCCAAGCATCCTATGACTATTTGATCGCCATTTGCAATCTTCTCCAGAAAGTCAGTGGGGAATAGGAAACATAGCAAGCTGCTGCTGCTGCCTGCTAAGAGAACTTCCTCTTCTCTCTGAGAAAGAGCTACTCAGGGCTTGAATTGCTCCAGCAAGCAGCCAGGACTAAATTGTTGCAGCAGACAGCTGTTTGAGAGCAAAAAGGTACCAGCTCCACATGGGCGTGAAACTGTCCAGCAGGCAGCCCTTTCACTTTTAAAGAATTGTCTGCCGAAGGATTTCAATTCTGTATAGAGCTGAAATAGTTCAGCAGACCTCTCTTTCACTCCATCCACTTCACAATCCAAGAGATCGCTTAATAACTGCAACTGGGAATGCTAGGATTATGCCTGTTGAGTGAAACTATCATGTGATGTCTCGCTTAATTATTGCTTTACTCAGTGACCAAGAATCCAGTGTCAATTGTGGTTCTAAGTCAATGACTACCTCTACTGGTTGAGAAAATAGATTGAAAAAGAAATTCACCACAGTTAACGCCATTGAAAGATTATAGAGACAGTAAAGAATCTAGCTTTATCTAAAGGTTTGCCTGAAAAAAATAGCACACAAGGAATTTATCCAAGCCAAAAGGTTGACTTTGTGCTTGAATTCAAGGTTTTCTGCAAAGATTTCAAAAGGATAGATGTTCTAAGTTCAGTCAAGCATGATTCAGTACAAAGAGAACTGTCGGAGCTCTAGATTAATGAGTTGTAAGTGTGAATGGAACAAATATCTTTCTAACAATAGAGCAGCAAATCTTAAAAGTATAAAAAAAATTGGGACTTTTTTTTGTAATATTAATAATGAGGTTGCTTTACAATTTGTTCAGGTACCAAATTGGGTCAATTATAAGACATGCCATAAGTTAGATCCAAAATAAATCAATTTTATCAATGAATAGGTCACTGTTACCCAATAAAAGTTTAATTACAATTTTTTGTAGACTTTCAGTCCTGATGGCCGTTGGCTAATAACTGCATCAATGGACTGTACCATTAGAACTTGGGATCTACCATCTGGATGGTAAGTAAGCTTTACAATAGAAGTTTATATGTTACCCCCATATATTTTAAGTCTGAAATCTGAATTCAGATAACAAAAGTTTCTGGTTTTAAAAGATATAGCAATGTAAATTGTTTCATTTTGCACAATGTAAGCAAAATAAATAAAGGCCAGGAAAGCTGCTAATGGATATGACTTCCAAAACGTGCTTCAGAATATATGGGAATTTAATGTAGCGTACAGTTATGTAAAATAAATGATGACATGGTGCAATATGTCATTGTTGTTTATCTGAGGTTGTATTTACTTACTTTTAAGAACTACTAAGGACCAGATGATTTTTACTATGACCTGATATATAAAATCATAGAATACAAAGAGGGTGTACTTTCTTTTTCACATGACTGTATGTGCAATAGCATATAACATCTGCATGTATTTCAGGGATCATATTCCTTCTCTCTATTCTGTACTGAAATATCTCTTGCAAATTGAATTTTTAAGTTTAATATTAAAATATTTTATTACACTTTTGGAACTGCTGTAGGTTCATTACATTATATATCGAATGCATTATCAATGTAGTGTATAGATACAGAAACAGATAGCAAACAATTCAACACTATTAAAGCAGTGAATACATGATACGCATGATAATGTTTCTGACAAACCTCATTTCATATACAATAACTACTTGTATCATATCAAAATTGACGTCAGTACTGCTTTTTAAAAACATGTTATCAAAAGGACTGTTTACGTTTCTAGGCAATAAAAATGATACAAAATTCAATTCTTAATTGGGTGCACAATGGTGACTGAGTACAATAGAGGTACACCAAGGACTTGGTACAAAGCAAATAAACAAATAATCTTCAGGGATAAATTAAGTTATCCTTACCAAAAAGAAATTATCTTTTCTGGCAACTACACAACACGCAAATAAAACACAAATGATTAAAGGAAAATCAAATATAAGAAGCAAGACAAATCACATTTAGAAAACGCAAGTTCAGATCACAAAGAGAATGTTTAACAGAAAATTAAATGCTGCAGTTAGACTAACACTGCAGGATTCTCATAGGCTACAAAATATATTCTTGTTTAGTCTTTTGAGTCTAGAAGAGAGATGTGAAAGATGATTTTTAAACTAGACAGTTCTCAAAAGGCATCAAACAGGTAATGGAATGATAAGACCTTTTCCGTATTTTTCGCACTATCAGACCCTTCGGACCAGATTTGATACCTGGAATGAAAATGGGGTACCCATTCTACCAGAGTGGGTTGATTTTATTTGCGTGTGTGTGCACTGGTGTACGCCAATGATGGCGAACCTTTTCGGTACTGAGTGCCCAAACTGTAACGCATGTGCATGCGTGTGTGTGCCGGAGCACCGGAAACCCGAAGACCAGCTGGTGGGTGTGCGCATACCTGTTTTTTTGGCCATTTTTAGGCTGTTTTTCGGGCCGTTTTCAGGTTGTTTTTTCGGGCTGTTTTCAGGCCATTTTCCGGTGCTCTGGCACCTGCAAAGACCGGCTGGCTGGTGCGCATGTGCACGCCAGAAACCAGAAGAGCATCTGGAGATAGCACACGTGCCCACAGAGAGGGCTCTTCATGCCATCTCTGACACACGTGCCAAAGGTTCGCCATAATGGTACTATGCAATGGATTTTTTAATTTATTTTTTTTAATTTATTTTTTTTTTGCAGCCTGGTTGATTGTTTCCTACTAGATTCAGCAGCAGTAAGCATTACTATGTCTCCTACTGGAGATTTCCTTGCTTCCTGTCATGTAGATGACCTTGGAATTTACTTGTGGTAAGTTTTTTATTTTGCAATTCTGTTTTAAAAATGATTTGTTTATATTCTTTGGACTGTTCCACAGTATAGTCACAATTATGTGATGATTCTCCCTTTTAAAAAGTGCTTTCTAGTTTGCAAGGTTGCTACTAATCAGATAAGTATGGTGGAACCTTTTTCCTAATGTAATTGAAATGTAAAAGCTTTCGTCCTTAAGAAATATTTGAAATATAGATATTTATTTTTTTTCTGCATCATTTTAGTCCCTTCCAGAGTTTTTGAAAGATGATTGGCATACCGATTTAATATTGTAGTTGATCACATGGTCTGCTAGAAATTTAGACTAAATTTGTAAATTTTATCCATCTATTGAGTCCTTTCCAAGGATTTGAGATAAGCAGATGTTGTTTAAATATTTATTATATGGGTAATATATGTCAGATGTTTAGATAGATGGCATTTTTAATCATCTATCAAGTCCTTCCCAAGGACCTGGGATAAAGAGATGTTGCTTAACGGTGTTAAAGATATTGTCACGGGATGTAAGTTGTTCCAAGTAAAGCTTCCTTTTGCAATCTACTATTATTAATATCATTATTATTTATTGCTTTTTAAATTTTCTTTTTAGGTCTAACCGTTCCCTGTTTTCACTTGTTTCCTTGCGCCCTCTTCCATCAGATTATGAGCCGTCTGTTACAACACTTCCTGGTACCTGTTCAACTGAAGGTAGTAATGCATATAGAGGCAGGCCTTGAAATAATAATTTCAGAGTATCACATTAACAAAATATATAACACTTTGGAATTTCTTGTTGGTTTTTTTCACATAAATATAATTTGGGACATATATACTGTATTTCTATCTATTTTGATAACAGGATCTAGGTAAATTGTTAGTCTAAAGTTTTTACAACTGCAAAAACTTGACTACAAAAGTTTTTGTTTAGTAAAACAGTGTATTCACTGGAAAATCATGAATCACTTGTGTTACAGTGCTGCGTTTGAAATCTTATTTTGGAAATAGTTAATAATTGTAAGTTTTAGAATGTTTGTTATCTTGAATTGCAGTGGACTTAAAGATTGGGAGCTATTTTATTATTTTAATCTTTCCCTTTCAACTAGAATGGAGCAAATAATAATGTAAAAACTCTGAAATTACACTAATTACAATTACCAGTTTAAGAGATGGCCAAAATTGATGATAGCCAAGCACTGACTTAAATTTTTAATAATTTTATCATTATGCAAAACCAAGGATCTTATGTATAATCTAAAATTCATTGATATAAGGCAGTAATTCTCAATGTCAACAACTTTAAATGGTATTGATGTCAATTCCCAGAATTTCCCATCCAGCATGGTGAAAATAGTGGTGATATGATAGAATTGAACAACAAGGCATATTGTCTGTGTAGATCTATGCCTGCAAAATAAGTCACATCCAATTAATTTTAGCTGCAAATGATAAATTTCAGGGAAAGCTTTTATTCTGTCGTAGTAAAGATTAGAGTATACATTTTTAGCCTTTGTCTGGATTAGTGTTTTATAATGTTTCTATGCTTTTCTTTTACAATTGAAAATTGAAGATGTTACAGAAGAGGATGAAACAAATGATGAAATGATACAATATGAATCTCCACAACAGCTGGGAGAAAAAATTGTGACTCTTTCTTTGCTGCCAGAATCTAGATGGAAAAACTTGCTCAGTTTAGATATTATTAAGGTACCCATTTCATGACTTGCATATAAAGTTATTAGGAGTTGTTCCTATTATTGTCAGACAGTTATTTTAAACATTGTGAATAATAAACTTTTTTCAGAATAATCGGTTAGGAGAATGTTTAAGTCAATATTTTCATTTACAAAGTAGTAATGTAATCATATATAGAGTTGGACCAAAAATTACATCTTTCCCTAAAACAGAAAAGATAGAAAACTTTTTAGGAAAACATTATTTGCCCTAGGAATACTTTTTTGTCTCAGCCACACAACCAGTTATGAGATAATGTGCCAGTGGAATTAAAAAAATGTTTAACTAACATAGTGAAGCAGAATTAAATGCCATCTTGTATTCATGCAGTTCACTAAATCATAATATTTTTGAAAATATAATAGTAACAGTTCCAAAATACTGATATCTCCTTTTGATTTGTGATTATTCTGTGTGTAATGTTTTAGATGGGTTCAGTGTTTTTAATAGCAAGGAAGCTAATAATTTTGTTTGTTTATGTAAATAATAATAATAATAATAATAATAATAATAATAATAATAATGATGATGATGATGATGATGATGATGATGATGATGATGTAAATATTGGGTTTACATAAAATGTGACAGTGATGATGTGATAACTCCCATTAACAGCAAAAGAACAAGCCCAAGGAGCCACCCAAAGTACCAAAATCTGCACCATTCTTCATTCCCACTCTTCCTGGTCTTATACCACAATTTGCTTCTGTTGAGCATGAAACTGATGGACAGCAGGTAAAAAGAATTGATTATTCAAAAACTTCTTTACCTTTTAAATGTCTTTTCTTTTTTTCTCAGGGTTCCTAAGTGTTTCAGAACTGTATAAGTTCTGGTATAAGCTTGATCATATCTTCCTGTTAGCCATGTGATATTTAAGTGCTATATCAGGGGTTACTTGCACTACCTGGTCTTGGTGCATCCTTTATTTTTTCAGTTCTGGTCTCTTGTACCTTTAGTATATGTTAACAGCATAATTTTTGGATATTAAAGTGGGGCTTATATTTGAAACAGATGTTTTATGCTCCGTTTGAGTCCTTTGTCAGTAGTAAAATTTCCTTGCCTTTCCCATGCCCTATAAATTATATATTTTTCTTAAGAATAGTGATGATGAGATAGAAGCCAACCACTAATATTACGTTAATGAATTACAACAGTAAAATGGGCCAGTTTCACGGTAACTTTAGTATAATTCATTGACATCATTGTAGTGCCCCAAAAGCTGAGCTCTTCTGTTGTTGAGCCCATTGTTGTGGATTCTTGCACTTCCTCATACATAACTCTCAAAATAAGTTCTGAATATGGGAAGGTGAGCAGAAGGAGAAAAAATTATTCACCTGTAGGAACTGATTTGTTGTGATTTGTAACTTACATTTGTAAACATTCCATCAAAATATGTTTACCCTTGAATGTACTTATAAGTGATGTGATTTTTTTTTTTAATTCCAGTCAAAAGTGGTAAATCTTGGAATATTGGCTCAAAAATCTGAGTTCTACTTGCAGCTTGAAGAAGCATTAAAAAGTAGCAACTGTAAGTTTTCATATGAAATGACAGTGTACTTGATGGTAGTTCTAACTCTGAGAGCTTATGGATTGCAGACAAATCACACTTGGCTAATAAAAAATTCTACACTGATACAAAAATGTAGAAGGAAATTATATATTTTCAAGTGACATTTAATTAATATATTTTAACTAACTAGTGTCATTATTATATTGCATCATGTTGAGTCCTTTTTATTCTACTATATATCATTCTGATGATGCTTACATAATTATGAGCAGTTGTTATGTATCATATTGTGTAAATGTATATAAATAACTGGTACTATATGGCTATATGCCTTTGCAACTTCATATCTACCTGTCTGTCTGTCTGTCCATCTATCTACCCATCTTTCTATCAACATTTGTTGTGAAACTGCAATTCATGTCCCGACAGACATGAATATCAAAACAGAAATAAAACAACAATAAGTACATTGCTTAGAGTATCAACAGGCTTGTAATAAACACCCACATATCATGGCTTTCCCACATATGTTGGGAGCCAAAAATACACCAGCTTGCAAAATACAAGAAGGGATGGGACTGAAAATGCTAGTGAGAGAAAGGTTTGGATAGGAATGTGAGAAATCTGTACAGATCACGCATTTCAGATAATTATCTAGCACAATATGTGCGTGTAGTAACAAAGCAGGACAAGAGGTGCTACTCAACCCTAGAGGTTCCTAGCTGTTGTGTTTTCCCATTGACAGATTATCAAATAGTTTCTAGAGATACGATTTTTTCATTGTTAATTTTGTGTATGTGGGTGTGTTCTCTGTATTATGTTCTACTCCCCCCCCCCCCCCCCCCAAAAAAAAAAAAAACCCAGGAGTTTTGGAATGGGTTGCCTCTTGGAAATAGGATTTTTTAATTTTTTCTTGCAAAAACAATATGTAAACTAATCCAGATGAAGTAAGTATTCTGAGAGAGAAGCAAAATCATAGATTAAAATTAAATATGACAGGGTCTCTGTGATATCTAAAATATCTAGAATATTTTCTATACTTCTCACCTTTGTTTAATGTCTTTACAGATAAGCCTCCACTGAGCATTCTGAAGGACATGGGACCATCTAATATTGAGACAGAACTGAGAGGCTTGTCACCAGATGGCGGTGGCTCGATTGAGGTGATGCAGAGTTTCCTAAGAATGATTGAAACAATGCTGAACACAAAGTGTGACTTTGAACTAGCTCAGGCATACCTTGCCTTGTTTCTAAAGGTAAATACATCTTTGAATATACAGCTTTCACTTTACTGGGAAAGTGTTTGATTGAAGAGGAAGAAAAAATTAATGCTTTTATTTATATATGCACCGTACTTATATAGCATTTTCTTATAATAGATCAGTCAGAATAACTACTAATTAAAAATGCAAATACAATTTAAATTAAAGTTATTAGCAAACTGAAAACTTAAAAGATCTGGCCTTTTCTTTTTTTTTTTTCCAATAGTGTTTTCCACATATTTTTTTTTTTTTTGGTTATAAATTCATTTATACATTGCTTATTCACAAGACTATAGGCAGTTTACAGTTATAAAAACAAAATCAATGCAGCAGCTTGGTGAATGGCATTGGTGGATATTTCTACATCAGAGGCCTTGTAGACGAAACCATTTTTACATGTGTCTTAATGTTAGCAGGATTGGGTCATCCCGATCTGAGAGAGTTGCTATTTTTTTTATCTTTTAGCATCTTCCAATGATTTCTCAGGAGGGGAGTGTGGTTGTCTCTCCCAGCTGTTTCATAGATTTCACCTCAAATAAATGATCACAAGTAAATAAAAAAGTCATGAACTTTGAACAATGATCCAGCCTGATTTAGTTCCAAAAGGCTAATGGCAATCAATGCTGCTGTAGTTTCCAAGTTGTCTTCAAGGGCAACCCTGAGTAGAATGAATTGAAGTAGTCTAACTAAAAGGTGACAAAAGCATGGCCCACTTTATTCACTACTTCCTGAACCCAGAAAGGTCACAATTATAGGACAAGCTGAAGCTGTTTGAAGATTCTCCTGGAAATCGCCTTCGTTGATTGCTTTAGTAGAAGCCACAAATCTAAGAGAACTCCTCTGGCCCAGATTGCACACCTATTCCTTCATGAGAAGTACAACCTCATCAAGAACAACACATAGCATATCCATGATATCTCATGGCTTCCATCCTGATGGCAACTCTTTCTCGCTGTGATTCTGTCAGAGTCTGTTCGGTTTTACCCAGTGCCTCACAACTCTCAGACACATGGCCGAAACTTATGGGTTAGAAGTGCATAACTGGATATGTTTACCATATTGAAACCACCTCGTTTCACATCAACAGAAAGCCTTTCTCAAAGGTTCATATTAAATTCTGTGAAGGAGCAGGTCAAACCATCAGCATCATATACTGATATGCCCAATGGCCTGACAGCTTCTTGCCCAAAAATTCTAAATGGAACCACCCACTTAGGAAGGAATGGAACCATTGCAGAATTGTGCCTCTAATACACAAACTTGCAAACAGTTTTTCTTTTAAAGGATAATATAGTGTAGATGCCGCTGAGAGATCTTTTAGGTCAAGCAACAGGACCCCATTGCTGTTCACTGTAACTCAATGGTTCCTAACCTTTTTTTGGCCATGTCCCATCTAAGCATCTCAAACATCCTGATACCCCTCCCTCCTGTGACATATAATTCTTACTATTCAAAAAGTGAACTCCTACTCACAGGAGGAAGCCTAAAAGACCATTAACTTGGTTTAAACAAGGTTCCAATTGCCCCCATTAAAAATCAAATTGCCCCCCTGTGGAGCGTGGGCCCCACATTGGGAACCACTGCTGTAACTCAAAGGAATCCAGTTGTTTTGTTTAGTACAGAACCATTTTATGTTACAATTTTCATTGTTATAAACAAGGATTGAGCAATTTTAAACAGCATTTAGCATTATCTGCAGTACTGCTGCTTCCCAGATGCCTTGTTATGTACATTAATGCTCCATGATAGATATATGAGGCATGCTTAGATTTTAATACGATTTAGAAATTTGCATCCTCTTTAGGACAGCTGATGAGTTTATTAGCTAATACAGGCATAGTGATGTGATGGTTTTATCAATCAGCTAGTTCAGTTTTCTTACTTTTATCCTGTCAGTGCCATTTAAATGAACATATGTTTTCTTTTTTTTTCTTTTTAGTTGCATTTTAAAATCATTTGTTCCGAGCCTACTTTGTTGGCAGAAGTATCCAGGCTGTCAACCCAACTTGAAGAAATCTGGATTCATTTGCAGACTCTATTCAACCAAAACATTTGCATTTTAAATTACATTAAGACAGCTCTCTTATAAAGTACCTTTTGTTCTGTAAGATTGAAGATGTTGAATCCTTAATTTCTTGTACAAAGCTTATCTAATAAGGGGTGTTGTACATCAGTTTTTAAAGTATTATCAGTATAACTTGACTTTTATTCAAATTTAAATATGAATCTAGTATCTTCATAAACTAATAATGTACATTATATTTAAAAAACTACAGAGATAATAAAATTCTTAAAACAAGTTTAATACAGAAATATTCAATAGGAAAAAACGAAACAAATTGTAAGGGTTCATGAATGTTTTAGGATTCTTTACTATGGAGAGAACTATCCTAGTGATATGAATGGGGGCCAGTGGGAGCCTTTTGAAATTGGGATAAAAAAATGGAAGAAGTGAAAATGTGAGTGCTTGAATCTTGAAAAACATTTTTTTAAAAAATTGAATGGATAAAAACGAGCAGAATTTTTCAAAACTGTAAAATTTATACCTAGGCTAACTCTTACCATATTCCAACATAGGCACAGAAAGACACACACATATTTACACATATATACAAACACAACACACACACACAAAATTCTTAATTGTATTGCAGCAGAAATTTGAGACAGTTTTCTTTGTCCCAAAATGGTAGGTGGATCTACTGTAACACAATTGTATCATTATTAAGGTATTACTTTACAATCTCTGTCTTAAAATTGATTTTAAACGACTCACTTTGTGGATGAACATTGTTACCAAATTTTAAGACTTTTCTTCCTTTTTCCCAATCAACCATTTTTAAAAACGTCTCCCTGTTAAAGAGTTTAGAATAATTCAGAATGTGTACACTTTTGTGCATTTTAGTCTTAATAATTTTGGATTGTAAATTTAAAGGGCTCATTTTATCACATTAATGGTAGAAAGTATTTCTTCCACTCTTCAAGGTGCTACCCTCAAGGAAAGAAGGTGGCACCTGGATGACAAGACTTCCAAGTGGTCTTGTTTTGACTGTGACGTTCCCTTGTCCTGCAGCAGCCTTTGTTGGGGGAAAATTAGTATCGTCTGTACTTGCAAATAAGCCCATCTTGTATATATTTTGGAATTTAAAATGTTGTAGTTTTTTTTTAGGTGGGTCTGTTCATGAACTAATTAAGACTTAATCTGGGAGCCCAGTCTGATACTCTGCACACTGCAAATGCATCTCCATACAGGACATGATTCAAATAGTATTTTCAGATAGGACATTGCAATTCTGTTCACCAGAGTGGCTCAAATCTCTGATACAGTTTCTATTAGCCAAGTGTATCTGCCAAGAAGTGTTTCTCATAGTGGCACCATCCTGTAGCACCAATATTTAAAAAGTGACTCTTACCTTCCGTGAGAGGTAATTCTTGTAAAAAAAATTGTGCCAACAAAGTGTACAAATGTTCAATTCATTCCCTAAAGTGTTTTATAGGATAAAGTAAAATTATTTCCTGGCATCCTAAACACAACATATCCCCACATATCCAAACAATTTGTAGAGTTTCTCTGGCTTCCAGACTTATATAAGCCCTAAAGATTTGTGGGGAAAGATTGGTCTTGACACCTTTTCAGAAACTTTTTTTTGTTGGCTAAAAAAATAGCCTTCAGGAACAAGAGGAAGAGCAGCAGCAAGTCCAGTGGCCAGATAAAAGAAATCTGAGACTTGGGCAGGAATAGAATTAGAGAAAATGTCTCTGACTTTCCATCCTAATTCTCACAAATATAAGGGGGAGAGTATTCAGATTTATAACATTCTGTTATTGTAACCATATAATAATGATCTAGTATCCATAACTAGTTTTCTGGTCTGCTGAACCTCTAAATGGTTGACAAAAGGCCAGGAGAGAGGGAGGGTCTGCTAGATCTTGGAGGAAGATGTTCCACAGGGCAGGGGCAATTACCAATGCTGTCTATTTAGCGTTCAGATCCTTTAATCACATTTAAATCTTCACTAATCCTTTTGGTCTTTAAGCGTATCTCTGATGGAAACCAGTCATGCTTTTATATTTATTCCTTTGCCATGGTTATACATGAATAGAAATATTAGAACTACATGCATATATAATTTTATATTTTTAAAAAATCCCTTCTGACCCTATGGGTAGTGTGTGTATTCCTCAATCTCAGGTCTTTTTCTCCATGTTTTGCCAACAGGTCAACATATTCATGTCATTGCACTGAAGGAACTTATGTCACCAATATAGTGACATAAACTGTTTTATATTAACCAATTTAAAAAAGGTATGAGATTCAAAATTCTAGCAGTCTATCACATGGTATGGTCTTAGAACTACAAATATACTGTAAACTATAGGAGTTTATATTAGCTATGTATCGTAACTACTGGTAGCTATGCTAGCTACGTATCATAAAAAGCACCAGCAGGAGGCCCCCAGGTTCAGCCTACCCCCAGCGGCCTCAGCTACCCAAACAAACTGATTACAAGTGTAGTATATGTTTTCTTACTGTTTCTAGATTTTATATATGGTGTTTTCTTTTTAAATACAGAAAAATGCCTGTTGCAGAAATTTAAAAACAAAAATTAGAAATTGAAGGTGAGAAACTCCAATATGGACAACATTCTTTCTTGCTGAGTCCACATTTTGAAGTGGAAATGGGAGGGAATCCCATTTACCTTTTTAGTTTCATCATTGGACTCCTTATGCTTCTATGCTACTGAAGCAACAAAAGAGAAATTAGTTACGCCGAATACATTGTCTTACGTCTTGGAAACAGGTTCAGAGAATGGGAGAACTTTGGATCATGTGACTTAATTTTCCTTTCCATTCGTAGAA